TTGATCCACTGTTAATCAGTTAATCCGCTGTTAATATATTAATCAACTGTTAATAAGTTTATCTACTGTTAATAAGTTAATCTTCTGTTAATAAACTAATCAACTGTTAATAAATTAATTAACTGTTAGTAAATCCACTGTTAATAAATTAATCAACTGTTAATGAGTTAATCTACTGTTAATAAATTAATTGACTGTTAATAAGTTAATCTACTGTTGATAAATTGATCCATTGTTAATAAATTAATTGACTGTTAATAAGTTAATCTACTGTTAATAAATTGATCCACTGTTAATAAATTAATCTACTGTTAATAAGTTAATCCACTGTTAATAAATTAATCAACTGTTAATGAGTTAATCCGCTGTTAATATATTAATCAACTGTTAGTAAATCCACAGTTAATAAATTAATCCACAATAATAAATTAATCCACTGTTAATAAATTAATCAACTGTTTAAGAATAAATCTACTGTTAATAAATTAATTGATTGTTAATAAGTTTATCTACTGTTAATAAATTGATCCACTGTTAATAAATTAATCAACTGTTAGTAAATCCACTGTTCATAAATTAATCAACTGTTAAAGAGTAAATCTACTGTTAATAAATTAATTGACTGTTGATAAGTTAATCTACTGTTAATAAATTGATCCACTGTTAATAAATTAATTGACTGTTAATAAGTTAATCTACTGTTAATAAATTGATCCACTGTTATTAAATTAATCAACTGTTAAAGAGTAAATCCACTGTTAATAAATTAATCAACTGTTAATGAGTAAATCTGCTGTTAATAAATTGATCCACTGTTAATAAATTAATCAACTGTTAGTAAATCCACTGTTAATAAATTAATCAACTGTTAATGAGTAAATCTACTGTTAATAAATTAATTGACTGTTAATAAGTTAATCTACTGTTAATAAATTGATCCACTGTTAATAAGTTAATCTTCTGTTAATAAACTAATCAACTGTTAATAAATAAATCCTCTGTTTACTAATAAACTAATTAATACTTATTCACTTGTTCTTAGAAGTTAGAAAGACAAATGACAATATTTTATAATAATAAAATGGCGAAAAAATTATATGAGCAGTTTACCGACCAATCAGAGAGCCCCGTTTCATTAGTTAGTTTTCAAATCTTATGTCAAAAAAAACGTTTGTAAAAAAACAACTACTAATAAATTAAAAATTAATTCAAAAAACATTGTCCAGCGCACAAAATTCTGAATGTAAACCATTCCCAGATCCCCTTGAACACACACAAAAAATTTCATCAAAATTGGTCCAGTCGTTTGAGAGAAGTTCGGTGACATACACACTCACAGAAGAATTACATATATAAAGATATAAGACTAGCTGACCCGGTCAACGTTGTTTTGCCATATAAAAAAATAGGTGTTAGTGATAAAAAACTATTTTTTTTGGGTTGTATGTATTTTTAATGCTACATTATAAAAAAAAAATAAAGAACAAAAGTTTCGTCCGGAAACAAAAATTGAGGGTGAACCACCCTTATGACTTAGTGGTATGAAAAATAGATGTTGGCTTATTCTCAGACCTAGTCAATGTGCTCACAAAATTTCATCAAAATCGGTCCAGCCGTTTCAGAAGAGTTCTCGGTCTAACACCGCGACATGAGAGTTTTATATAAAAGATATGTATATTATTAAATATCTCAGAAATATATTTGCGCGGATAATTGAATAATTTAGAAACCGTGAAAGTCAAATGGTGTAATGCAAGTGTTTGAAAATAAATCTTATCACAGAGCAAAAATACACAAATCGCTTTCTATTTTGAATCCGGTTTACTGGTTGATTTTAACAACAATATAAGTTAATTCGAATTTATACAACGTACCAAACAGGATACTGCAGTTGAGAGGAAACGGGCTTGGGTTGCAGCGATACAGTTTCATCTGACTGTACTTATAGAATTTTAATGAAAATGTCATTCATATAGTGACTGTGTCTCTCTAAAAACATTGATTCTATAACTTTCAATTAAATCGGACAAACATGAAATAATAAACGTAAGATTGTTTGAAACTGAAAGAAAAAATGATATATTTTAATCTATTCAAATGAATTATCACTAAATAAGTATTACATATTAAACCGGGTTAACTTATGCTTAGAATTACACTTTGTAAAAAAAAGATCCTTCAAAATCAAAATAAAAAAATCAAAATAAGTGAGGCTTGAACTTTGGATGTACATATGTTTATATTCATACTTGTTCATTTCATCTTCGTCGCCTAATTTAATCTATAAATTTTTAATTCAAATTTATCACATTAAATCAGCTTATCAATACGGTGAAAAATGATATTATCAATTAGCTGAAAAATTTACGGTTTAGAAAATATATCGTAACGATGAATTAAAATGTATGAAAATCTGTAGAAAGGTGAAATCTAAAAGAAGATACGGAGTTTATGATCTTGCAATGAAATTTAACAATAAAAAAATAATTATGCGTCGAGTCTCTCCGCGTGGAAGTAGCGAAACTTAGTAATTTTGGAATGAAAACAGGATGGGTTAAAATTATTATTAACAAATTTTTAATGTTTCTTTAAGACAAACTTTGATGAAACACTATTGCCCGCATGCGTTCGAGAGCCACGCATTCCCTCTCGCTCTAAGTTAAAGTAGATTAAGAATTTAAAAATATATATATATATATATATATATATATATTAAAACACAGGTTATTTCATAATAAATGTTCAGTGGTGATTAACAAACACATTACCCATAAATTAGCTATAAATCAATACCAAGGACTTTTTCTATGGTGCTGCAAAAGTAGATCACTTGCGTAACTTAAAAGAAGGTTGTTATTCACGATTTAATGTTATATATATTTTAATTTAATGTTTTAAAAACTGTAATATGGTTTATCGATTTGTTATGTAAAATCAAATATGAATTTCAATGATAATTAATGCATTCATTAAAGCAAAGTTCTATGAAACGCCTTAACTAGATCAAGATATTTATTTAAAAAAAATCTATTAATTCTCCGCTGTAAACATAATACTGACTAAACTAGTACTACCTAATGATTATGTCATGTAACTTAGTATAACAATCCTTTTTTTTTGTAAATGTTTTTACGGCTCTGGATACGAGTCCTTTTGAGCCTGTAAGTAACCTTAATATTACAGTGTTGCCAACATTACAATTTCAAATTAACAGAAATTTAACTAATATGGATTGTTTGTCTGTGTTCATTTTTTGTACCTAAGCGTTTAGATTCGCGCTCAATTTAATAATAAATATAAAATATATAAATACCTTATAATTTAAACATAACATTGAATCTTAAAACCGATATCAACTGTATTATAAATTTAGCATGACATGGTTTTAATTTTGGTTCAAACGAATTACTTAAACATATTTCAACGTTACTTGAGACTTGCTACCTAAAGACAGAAAACATTTAACGATCACTATAATAATAATTAAGAAGTTTCTATAACAAATTTTACAATTTTAAATAATATACCTTTTCTTTATATTTTTGGTTAGTTATTTAACTTACTTTCGATTGAAAATAAGAATGAAATTAATTACCTATTTAAAATTATTGCTGTTCTCAAAATTTAGGATACTGTTAGGTTTTTATTCAATTCAATTCTTTGATTGTTGGTCTAGTAGTTGCGTCTAAATGACATCTTGTTTTACCAATATCACATGGGATGGAAAAAAACACTTTAATCTTTAATAAAAATTAGTTATTCTAAAGTAATGTTATTATTACAGTTTTTGTCCTAAGCTATTTTATTATTTGTTATATTTTTTTATAACGGTCAAGAGAATTTAACTTTTTTAAATATAACTCGACATGTTAGTAATAACGCTTGGTCAGTATTAATGAAGCCGGTCATATTGTAAACAAAAACCTATATTGGATTTTATAAGTTAATATTTTTGGGACAAAATTGTGGGACATCGAAATAGTTCCTATATATGTATTTCATAATATATCTTTTATGGATGTTTTATTGCAAATTTAACAAATGCCTATGACGTTGGTATATATAAACTTAATCCGTAGCTTCGTACTCTGTTATTCAAACGCCAAATTTTCATTATTGTGAAGTATCAACAAAATTCATTTAGGTCCTGGATTAGTACCTGCTGTACAATAATTAACGAAAAATTTCGCACACATGATATACAAATAAATATTATAAGCATTAAAAAAATAATCTTTAAAAACTACGAAAACCTCATCCAAATATTTAAGTATAAAAATATTTTATTAATAGAAAAATATTAATAACAGTTTAAAGCTGATTATTTGAAAACGTAGATGTAATGTAAGCTTTCTAATTCAGGTATCCTGTTGTTAGAATATCAATATATTATCAATTTATAAAGTAAATTATATCTTTTAATAATTCAGCAAACAAAAATTTGACTAATATCAAATGTATCGAGGATTTTAATCATTGAATTTGTCTCTCTACCCATTTAATATAAAGCAATTTCAGATATTTAATTCTCTTTATAACTCCAGAGCATTTTAATATCACGAAATATTTTACAGTTTCCCGACGTGAAAATAAGAAATGTATAATAAAAACAGATTCTACATTCATATAATATTGATAATTAATTCATCAGAATGTAACTTTTATGTCTTCTCGATTACAAACTATACCTAATTCTCATGAAATTAAATTGACATTGAATCATAAAAATTCAGATTTATAATGAGAAATACAAATTGATTGGTTCTAATTTTATTTTTGAAGATATTACATTTCTTCGTAACAAATAAATGATGATTAATTTAAATGAAATTTTCCGAACTCGTGTCACTCATAAATTTTAAATTATGCAATTCGTAATGAAACTAAATGTCTTATAACATTAAACTTATAATACTTTTATCTTAATTAAAACACAAACGAAGTCACATATAAGTATATTATTTATTTTTTTATAATAACAACATCGTTATATATATGATCTAATAAAATTCTTGCACTATATATCTTACTGCCGCTGAGTAGGCTGCAGACGCTAGAGCGGTGGTGTGACTGTTACATAGTTTGGTCTCCACATCATAATATCCGAAGCAGCCATCAACATATTGGAATGCCAACAATCTTAACAACCAGGTGCGTCGTAGAAACTGAGCTTTACCAGCAGACGCACAAACACAGACTGCAAAATATATTTTACCATGCAGGTTACTAAAATAATGACGTGAAACCAATTATTATCCTAATAAAAATTATCTTTAATAAACTCTCACTTATTTCGAACAACAAATCCGCCAAAGCCAAATCGTGGTAAACTATATACGTAGCTTCTTCATATGCCATCTTGCATAATTTATTTTTCAATCCTTCATCTTTGGTATCAGACACAATAGCACAACCTTGTCCTATAGTCGCCATTGCTAAAATTATTATTCTAAAAATATTTTTTTTAACTATTTAGCAGGTACCAATTATATGTACATTAAAAAATATATCTTAAAAATTATATACGTATAAAGATTTTATAATTTACCACAACATTGTATTTAGTGAATTCTAAATACACCGCTAAGTTATTTCATTACAAGTGCATATTTGCTCACCGATGGCATAAGGCGTAGCCAAAGTCATTTCCTTCAGTCAATATTTTATAACACATGTTTGCAACTGGACACCAGGAAATGAAGGAATCCTCGAAGTTTCTTGGATTTATAGCCACGGACACTAGACATGTGTCTAAAAAATAAGAAGAAATTAATAAATAATTAACAACCTCATACTGATATACATAAAATTTTATTTCTTTCACCAGATCATTGTCAAGTTTAATCACATTTTTTTATTTTCGATGAATAAAAGAAACTTTACCTGAATTTCCAGGGTTCGGTTGCCATCTATAGATATCATCAACTTTGTGAAAATAACTTTCCCAATTAGAATAAATTTTCAGTACATCTTCTTTCGAATAATCCTGCATTTTTTGGTATTTCAATTTATTTATGCGTTTAATCGAATATTTCGTGTCAGACAATAACTCCGATACTGTAATAATATATTTACCACATAAATAGTTAAAATACACACACATGAATAAAACATAAGTAATTTATAAATACTTATAGCGTGGTCCCTGCTTATAAAGTCTACATCTTTTTTAACTTTTTTCCGAAAATACTTAAGGCTTTTTTCATTTTTATCCATAGCGGTTTTAATTCGGTTGTACATATCCTTAGGAAGCTTTTTTTTTTTATCCAATAAAGCGCGACCTAAATGCACTATAATAAAATAAACTCTTAATGTTGTATGTATAATTATTATGATATGAGGATCAAAGAACCAAAAAACATATTTACCATTACTTAAAAAAATTCCAAATGCCAAATGGATATCCTGTAAGTTGGTTTTGTTTTTTTCGACATATTTCACTAAAGTTTCAATTGGTTTCATAAACGTGTTGAAATCGTTCTTTTCAGGTAAATCACGGTCAGGTTCGGAATTTTTTGACCTAAAATAATTAGATTTAACAATCACAAAACATAACAGGGTCATGGAAATTGTCAATTTCATTATATCATTAAAAATATCGTTTGTCAAATATTGTGTTACACTATTGTGTAAGTCCAAACAGTGACTGAAGATTTTCCGCAAAACGTCCCAGTTTTTATCAGCGATGATAAAGATTGAGTGAGATGAAGTTACAATGAAATAGGTTTAAACGTATATTTTCTCACAATTGCTTTGCAATCCCCTGCGGCATTCCAACTAAAATACTTATTTGTAACACTTAGTTTCTTTTTTTTAGATTTTCTTCATTCCAGCATTTATTTCAATAGAACATTTGAATACGAATACGTGATGGTAGTCAGTTAGTTTCTTGTCTGAGCAAAGTACATGTTTATAGTTAACATACCTATATTAAATCATAGAATAGAGTCAGTAAGTAAAAAAATAGATGAATATAAATAAAATAAATCGATTGATAGATATCATTGACAGATTATTTTGTAAACCAGTAACGAAATAACACCTAGGTACTTTAGTGTCCATCAATTATATTGGCACGAGTTAGGCAAGTGTAATAGCATATACCTAGTGATCACGGGTCAAAAACGTCATAAATCATTTTGAAAAAGAGATTAGCTTTTAGCCTACACTGCTGAAGTTAAGACGAAGGGAAGTACAAAGCCATACATTGTTTTTTCATAATATGCTCGTAAGGTCCATAAAGCAAATCTCAATTGAATTTTCTTTCAATTTATATAAAATATATGGGAATTATTTTACTATTGAACTATACATACCTATTGTTGTTATTTAGTTTGTTTTTATAGACTTCTGTCTCACAGCTGCATATTAATAAATTACATATATTATTAATACGGGGCTTAAAATGCAGTATATAACTAACTATATGTCATTTCATAAGATTTGATCCGGAATAATTTGATAATGATGTATTACATTATAATGTAGTGTTTTGAATGTACACAAGAAGGAAAAAGCCGTCTGAAAATAGCTTTATTTAGAATGATAGACGTGATTTACAAAGCTCAATGTAAATGAAATGAAGGATAAGCTACGCCGCAGGCTTCGTGTGGCTTTATTTATTCTGCAATATTTCAGGATTTTACTTAATTTGATGATGGAAATATTATAAGTAGTGGCGTTTTTCCTTACTTTTTTATTCAATAATCAGACAGTAGGTTTAACGTTTATGATTATTAATCATTTCGACTACTATACTTATAATATACAATATACATGACATGTTGCCTGCGGCTTCGCTCGCATATTAAATCCCCTTGAGAACCGCGTTATCATTTTAAGGATTCTTGATTTCTCAAAGATCTCTTAACCAGAGCCCAACTTGGGGACTATAGAACTAGTTCAGGTAAAAAAACTATCTTCAATTAAAGGAACAACAGCGTGGCAAACATTTAGTCTAATTAATTACGTTTTGGTGGCAGCGAAGGATGCAAGAAAAATCCGTTTTTCTTATAAAACTATTAAATTTAACAATGGAGACTTATATTTAACTACTAGCTAAAGAAGTGTCTTTAAGTCAATGATTGACTTAAGACGCATTATATAATTTAGTCTTATAACTATAAACTACATCCTATACAGGTGTCTGTAAGTCAGCGGTTGAGTCCAGACTGAATATATGCTAAACCCCATTTTGCATTTCCACCGATGGTGCATGACGTGCGGTGTCGTCTTCAGTTTTCCATACCCACCGATGGCTTAGAGTCAGCATTCCGTACTTTACACCATTAGTATACCGTAAACTTATTACCCAGTTATGCTTGCATAACAAATTCAATACTCCGATATTTTTAATTAATCAAACAGTAGCCCAAGTAACCCGTTATGACATTAACTACTTATGAATTAAATTACGATCAACGTCGGTCCAGCCAATCCAATCCGAACAAAAGGAAAGGCATATAGGAAACAAAATTAAATATTCATATGAGCTTAGTGAAAAGCTGGTATTTGAAACAACCAACAAATAATACTCAAATTTTATATACAGGGTGACTGGTGAATTACTATTAATATTTAAGGAGAATACTTGGTACATGATTCTCATTCGAATTATGTAAAAAAAATAGGCACTTAATTTTTGACAAAATTTCCGTATAAATAAATAAAGTGTTGACACGTTCCAAGTGTTCCAAGTGTGGACGCGTGCGGCGGCGTGCTGATACAACACTACGCCGCCACACGCGTATGTGTATATATGGGTGTATGGGTGTATACCTAATCTGTAGGGTGTTCACACGATGCGTAATTAATTACATAACTTTTGGTTAACTTTACTTAGAAGTTTATTAATATTTATGTTATATTAATTTTTATTTTGTCATATATGATCAACAAATATCACGTCCTCAAGTATGGATAGTAATTCACCAGTCACCCTGTATACATATGTTTTGAAAAAAAAAATACTCTTAAAGAAATTCATAAAAAATAGAACAACCTAAATATTTAATAAAATATTAACATCTTATATATTTGAAGTAAAAAATAAATGGTTAGAATAAACATTCTAATTTATATATGTAAATGATAAGAATAAAGCGTAAACATCTTTTTAAATAAGTTTTCTGCCTTCTTAAGCCGCTTAAGATTTTTTTAATTAATAAAAATTCAAAAGAAAATTGTTGTGGACCCAATTCTGGACATATTTTCTTGTTCTTGTTTTAGATTATTGCTGATTTTGATTTGATAAAAATAGATCTTCCCGTCCGATCTAATTAATTTATATATGTAACCTTAATTACATTGAATAGATCTTTAAAACAAAGAAAAAACTCTTTAAATACTTATATGGCAAAGGATAAAGATAAAATAATGTTGAATAAATAACATGATTACACTGAAAAATATGGATTTAATCATTTTGATATATGCTTTTTTTGGACTAGACTGTTCTTGACTATAATTTCAGTAAATGTAAAATGGAAATGAAGTTGTAGAAGGTAAACACACTATCTCAATAACAACATAATATCATTTTCATCCTTTTCTTGGAGACGCATCAATTAGTTGCAACTGCTGAATTTATGTCTATAATGCCAAGTGAACATCTAGAAATATTTTTCTGATAACTTTATTCCATTTTATTTTTTATTCAAATAATGAAGTAAAAAAGTTATTGCTCCTTGAAAACCCACTTGTATATTATTTTTGTTTCATTAGGTTATTACTTTCTTTTAAACACTATAGGAAAAAGTTTTTAATTGAATTATAACTAAGTACAACAACGTCACAGCAGTAGTATTTTTGTATTTAAATCTTTTACTTATTTAAATGTGTGCCCACCTTTATAAATGCTTCATTATATGGGCACTCTTTCAATATTTTCATTGCCAACTGGCAACACAATTTCCATAGAAGTGTCAACCATTTTGATGTATCATCGTCTGTTTTATTATCGTTACTCTTTCTAGTTAAATTTATTATAACTATGGGTTTAGCAACTGTGATAGAAAATGAAGCTCATTTCCAGTCTGAAATGGCTAATGCTGGAACTAAGTTGGTTGTAGTAGATTTTACAGCAACCTGGTGAGTATTGCCATTGTATCACTATTGCAAGTCATAACTCAGGAAGATTACTTTAATTGTTAATGTTGATATTGTTTTAAGGTGTCCACCGTGCCAGCGTATTGCTCCATTCTTTGAACAGCTCCCAGCTCAGTTCCCACGTGCTGTATTTCTCAAAGTCGACGTAGATAGATGCGCCGAAACAGCCAGTGCACAGGGTATCAGTGCGATGCCTACATTCATATTTTACAGAAATCGTGTAAGTATGCTTGCTCTAAATATTGTTTCTTAAGTTTTCAATAACAATTCATTTATGTTTTAAGTTACAAGTGTATTATCATTTAATTTTTTTCTAGACAAGAATTGACCGGCTGCAGGGCGCCGATACTACATCTTTAGTAAATAAAGTAAGACAGTACTATGGCACCGAAGATAGTGGTGACGACGACAATTCTGTTGCTGGACATGTAAGTCACATGCATCATTGTTTATAGAATACTTGTCCTGTCCTTATCTAATTGGAAAATATCTTTCTTTCAGATGGATTTGAATACATTCATTGTAAAGAATGAATGTGAATGTCTGAATGAAGCTGATGACCATCCACTATCACATGCACTCACAAGTGGTGGCGGGTACTTGGCTAGCGACTGTGATGAACAACTCATCATAAATATTTCATTCAACCAGGTAATTCTAGATTATAAGAAATACATTAACTTGACGATGATAATATTTAGCTATATTTATATCTTAGAGTTTTTTGTAAATTAAATATACATATATTTTTTTATACAGGTAGTGAAACTTCATTCAATCAAAATGAAAGCACCAAGTGACAAGGGTCCAAAATCTGTGAAAGTGTTCATTAATCAGCCGAGGACACTTGATTTTGATCAGGCTGCTGGAAATGCATCGGTTCAGGATTTGGAGTTAGTATCGTTGATTATAAGAATAGAATTTTTCATGAAAAAAGTGAAAATTAATACATAAATAATTTTTTACAGGATATCTTCAAGTGATTTAGAAGGTAACCCAGTACCATTGAAGTTTGTCAAGTTCCAGAGCGTTCAGAACATTCAATTGTTTATTAAAGACAACCAGTCGGGAGATGAAGTAACACAAATTGACCACTTAGCTTTCTATGGGTCACCGATTTCAACAACCAACATGGGTGAATTCAAGAGAGTCGCCGGTAAAAAAGGAGAAAGTCACTAGCCTCGACTATTGCAGTGCTGTCGGTAGTTCACCACTAACATTATCATGATGTATTGATTTATTGAATATTAATTTAATATATCAGAAAAGGATTTCGTTTATTTTAAAGATGCACTAGCTGGGTACTATGACATTCCTTATACTGGTGTATAAGTTTATATATTTACTTTTCTTATAAGGTTCATAACTGAATCTTATGCACCTCACCATTACCATACTCAGAATCACGTTTTGACATGCCTCGCTAGTCATTTTTTATGCTTTACTGAAAAGCGGAACTCGGACAGCATTTTGCAATTCCAATGTGTCTGCTATAAGACTAAAATAATAAGACTAAGTGAATATGTGTCTAGAATAATTTATTCATATGCATAACCAATAATATTAAAATAATATTCAGACTGTGTCAAATGTGTAGCAAACATAATATATTTTCTCAAATATTTATCAAGTAGAAACTTTGGCATATAAATGTATGTAATGGATATATGATTGGTATCTGTTTTCAGAAATTTGTATATGCAATAAATAAAACATTTTATGTGTAAAACTATTATATTATTTATAATCTTAATATTAATCCTGTTTCAATTCATACACTTGTATATAAGCTTCTGTGAGTGTGATCATTTGGGGTAAAATGCTGGTTACATGAAGATCTTGCATTTCATACCTGCATTAATTAAGACAACATTACAATTCTATTTAGTGAAGAATAGATATACAGGGTGACTGGTGAATTACTATCGATACTTGAGGACGTGATATTTGACGATCAAATATAACAAAATAAAAATTAATATAACATAAATATTAATAAACTTCTAGGTAAAGTTAATCAAAAGTTATGTAATTAATTACGCATCGTGTGAACACCCTACAGATTAGGTATACACACACACACACACTCGCGCGCGGCGGCGTGGTGTTCTATCAGCACGCCGCCGCACGCGTCCACACTTGGAACGTGTCCACACTTTATTTATTTATACGGAAATTTAGTCAAAAATTAAGTAGCTATTTTTTTTTACATAATTCGAATGAGAATCATGTACCGAGTATTCTCCTTAAATATTGATAGTAATTCACCAGTCACCCTGTATATTTTCATTAATAATGGAAGTGATATTTTAAAATTATAGGTTTGGATTCTGATTGAATCAATTAAGTCATTTCTTAAAAACTTGATGAATTTTTATGTTATGGTCATCACAAAATATGATTTATCACAACAACCCTTAGATGTATGATCTAACAATATTTTTTTTTTGCAATTCTAATTCTACTTATATTGATAAAATTTTAATACAATATTCAAAATATACATAAATATAATTTTATCATACCATTGCTGTGTAGGTGTATGCAGCACATGAGCTCTATAAGTGCCTTTCTCAGGAGTTCCATCATGTACTATATTACCAACAAGCTCATATATTGTTTTGCCATTGTGCTTTGCTTTTATTTCAGGTGTAAGTATATCTCCAAAATCAACATTCCTGGAAAAAAATTATATTGAAAATAGGAGTTATCACTGAAAAAATAAATATATAACAGCTAATGCTTGTAAACTTACTTAACAGGAAAATTTACAACAGTGGGATTCTTTTCCACAAAGAATGTGTTTTTCGTGAATCTCTTTATATATAATATTAGGTATGGTGGCAGTTGGGTTATTTCAAACCTTTTTAGGAAATTTTCCTTGTATGTTTTATATTCTTTTGATGCTTGCCCATTAAACTTTGACAAGAGTTGATAGAGATTGACCTGTAAAAAAATTATGACTGAGAAATAAGTTTTATTAATTATTATTAATAAACCAAACAAGTAATTACCTGAGGGATAATATTTTCCCTAAATTCATCAGTAAAAAGTGGTGTTGGTGGTAAGTCACATGTTAAATAGAGAAATGGTGACTCTGTTATCATTTCATTATATTCTTCACTATTTAAGTCCACATTTGCAGCTTCATCAGCATCTGGGGGAGGTAGTTTCCTGGAATATTTAAAAAAATTGTTGGATAGAACATTTTAATCACCTACACATACTTTAATAGATCCAAATAAATAACTGAATTAAGGAATAACACTCAAATACACATTATAAATATTTAAGAATAAAACACAATCTGATGAGTTAAATGTAAGATATATTAAAATATAACATGTACTTTTTCTACCACAATGTTTTTTTTATTTGTAAGCAGATTTTGTTGTTTCAATTGGATAATTCTCTTTCCATAGGGAACAAAAAATGCACTTTATAGTGTATAGGGATATGAGAAAGGTAAACAATGAAAGACAATGGGATAGAGTAATTAAACCATGCAATTCCTAGGCACTCTAAAGTGAATACTATAGAATACCAAGAGGCTGATAACTTAAAAAAAAAGTTAAGCATCAACAAGCTCATTTATATACCCTGGAAATATAATACTAGAATTATAACATGAAAACTATCTGTCTCACCTAGTATATATCCTCATGTGACCAAGAAAAGATTTATATATTATGGAACTGTTTGGCTTTTTAGTTCCATTCAGAGCCATGTGGAGTGAGTTCAGGAACCAAGATAGAAAATCAATTGGATCACCTATAAAAAAAAAAATTAACACTTAACTTATTACCATACTGTACAGCCTGAAATAATTAATTTTATTATCTAACTAGTCTTACTCTGTTTGATAAATTGGAATCTCTTTTTGGACCATAATACAACAGCTTGCAACATCTCATGAGGAGACACATGGGCTTTAAATGCCCTGGGATTCCAGAGCTTACGTAAAAGTTCACCAAATCTTTGCACCAAAAGGAAAGAAGAATCACCAGGCGGCCTTTTCACATCCGCATAGTTTTCTTCCCGTAAGAAGTAATTACGTAGTGGTCTTACTTGTGCCAAACACTGTAATTTTTAATGATAATTTCATTTTCACAATTAATAATTCATATTACAGTAATCATTATTTTACCTGTAATATAACATTACAATAGTCATTGGCCTTGATATTGTTTAGTCCAACTATACCGGGCATATACATGGTTCCATCTATTGCTCTTGACATTTTAATATTTTGATCCAACTGTTTTATTTGTTCCGGAGTGAAGATGGGATTCAAAACATACTTTATGTCATTGAGAGATGAATCTAGAATATATGAATTAATATATATTTACGTCACAAAGTATTTTAATGGTAAACATTAAACTATATAATATATATTTTTTATAAAAACAAAAACACAGTACCAATGACTTCGTAATTATCTGGTAGGCAGTAAAATTTAAGAGTATGCAAATTGAGGAACACATGGTGGCTTTCTGCTACAGAATGGGTGTATGCATGAGTGTTAGTACCACGGCCCTGAAATAAGAAATAACTTTAGATAAATTATGCTTAATTGATAAAGATATTTCTATTAAAAAAACGCTTTACATACCTGGAAGTACTTCCCACAGACCAGACAAGCATATACATTTATTCTTGTAAGAGAAACAGAGCACAATTTTTCGAAATCAAAATCCAACACATGCCTGTTAATAGTATCCAAATACGGGCACTGAATATGAGTCTTGCTACTTTTAATTGCTGGTTCTATTAAAGAGTAAAAACTATTAGAAGATTTAATGTAATAAAACTTATCCTTATTAGGTTGTTATTTTGTTTACCTGTAGCTTCTTCACCATTTTCGCCGCTAAGTTTTCGTTTCATTGTATCTCCATTACTCATTTTGGCAATAATGTATTAATATTAGTGAATTTGAAGTGGTTACTTAGAATAATAAACTATGTATAGGATTTGCTAGTTGAAATTAAGGTTTTCAGCTTACATCAAATTACCATTCACCAATAGAATACAATCAATCTTGACAGTTGACATGTTTGATCTGAACCTGTAGTTTGAACTTCATACTAAAAACCTATTAATTATTTACTAACTAAAGTAATAAGTAAAGGAGATTCCTTAATGCCCAAAAACTATTGCCATACCATTATATGGTGGCAATTGAGTAAATTTTTTGATACTTAACTAGCTATTCTTGTTCCAAAAAAATTCGTACAGCTGAGTTTGGTGTAAAAAAAGCTATCAAGAATAACTTACGTTATGATAAAAATTTTAAAAATTCCTCAATTTAAGAACACAGTCGTTTTGTTTATCGTGTACTAATTGTATATACGAACATTCATAGAAGTAAAATACTGGCAATACAAAGCATGATAACTCAAATATCGAAAATATTATATTGTTAAATCACTGACATTACTCGATTGGCCACCCATGAAAATGGCTGCATCGGGTGGAAATATTGAATGGTCTACAACAGTTAAACCAATTTTAACTGCATTATATGGCCCTTTTTTCGATAAAAATGATGCCGTTGAAATTATTCAGGCTATAATTAAAAGGTGGGTACTATTAGTATCTATTATTTGTAGATTTGTTTTACTGTTAGTCATCTTTTCAGTATCGAGCGGTTCTTATTTATACCATTACTATTATTTAGTTTTACGTTTTTCAGTTGTTGCTCTTTCGTTAATTTGTTAATTTCGTAAAGTTAGATTTTATTACGATGATATCTGAAACATACTTATATTAAATTATACGATACAGTTATTAGAATTGTATTAGATACGCACATCACAAATGTTTTGAAAGTTGTCTAATTACTATTTTATCTATCCTAAATCTTTCTCCGGACATCGTTTCTTAAGTGTCCGAAGCTTCGAGCATTAAGATAAATCATTGTATACTACCCTCTACCGAAAAATACTCATCCTCTTTTACTCTTACAGTGAAAGTGAGTTCCAGAATCATGACGACGTCTATGACCTATTTTACACATGCTTTGCCTGTCTTTCAGCACATTTTATCAGCATCAATGCAAACAACTGTAAGTATTAGTTGAATTGTAAATTTTTCAATAGAAATAATACATATATGTATTAATTAGTTTATTTAAAAAAAAATTACATAGACAACATTCTTGTAATTGATATTTCTTATTATGATTTTACTGTTATTTATTGTTGGATTTTCAAAACAAAACTAAATGATACTTAAGATATGCAATACTTCAGATATGCAATGTGAACCTTTATTTGAGTAATACATTTAATAATTTAAGTGCTAGAATACAATATTAATTATATATTTATAGTGACTGTTGCCCTTCACTTTATAAACATAAGTTTAATATGTGTATGTTATACCTTTGTGGTATTATGATTTCTTTAAAATCCATTAATTAAATCATCTGTGGATGACAATAGCACTACCTCATGACTATTACCTTTAAACTAAAAACAATTTAAAAAAATTACCTTTAAGAAGTACTAGCTAAACAAATATTTAGTCACATTAAGAACTTTCTTTCTTTTGATGTGTGTTATATGGTATTCTAAGTTACATCTTATAAAATTACCTAGCTGCAAGTGAGTTTTCTGTCAAAATCTATCCAGCTTTTACAAACATTTAGTGGAACAAGTAGACAGATAGATAAGAGTTCAGTTTTTGTTTTTGGAACTCTTTAAAAGCTCTACATTTATTACAATATGAATAGGATTAGTATTTATAAATCCAATATTTTGATGTCTTTTGAAACAAAACAATTAACTACTATTACATTTTTAATATATATTAAGAAACAGTATAAAACAAATATGAAATTATGTACCAAATATTGTTATTAAAAATCTGTATGGTGTTATTGACGCAATTGTATTTTTCCTTTTGAGGATACATATATGTCCAAAAATCCTAAATAGTTATTTTCATAGCAGTAATAATGAAAATATAATATAAAAAATGATGCTATTAAGCATTGAATATTCTATTTAATTGGCTATAATTTTCAAATCTAATATATTTCTTATTATTATGAAGTAGTGTAGGCATGAGTATGTACGTATGAGCTTTAACATTGTGCAATATTAAGAAATATTATTAAAAAATTATTATTTCTAAGACTTACACCATAGCATCTGAAATAAATTGTGCTCACTAAGAAATAATTTAGAAATGGTTATAGTTAACCATTTTATTTATTACTTAGAATCCACAACTTTTTTTTATACATTTCTTCGATTTTGTTCCTACGGTACTAGCTGTTATCAGTTTACCTCACGAGATTTCATTCAATTTCTCAAACATCCCTTCATTGTATTCTTACTTGTTAATGATTTGCCTACCTTGATTAAAAAATATTTTTTGTAAAACAGCCTTTAATGGTAGAAGTCATATGGTAACAAACATAAAATCGAAATGAGAATTTCCTTTAAACATTAAAATGAGAAACAGACAAATCAATTTTTGTAAGCTTGATAATAAATCCTGTAACATTATATAAATTTGATAGTCACAAAACAAATTGTTTTTTCTTGTACAGTACCAGTCGATCAACTTGGCACAGCACGTGATGCATTCCGAATTATTCTCGGCCAAATCCTCAAAAAGCTTTCTGAAGTTGGAATGCGCTACGATGACACGAACAACACAGCCGCTTCTAATGTGTCCATAAAACAGGTAAATCATTCTACTGAATTGATAAAAAATAAAATTCACGTAAACAAAATATGAATAAGATCTATGTGGGCTAAATACCAATTGAATTTGTTACAGCTCCTACTGCCCATTGTGGGACTATGCGGAATTGATGGCGGAGGTCTTCCCCAATCAGACCTGGTAATACTGACATCATTGCTTAAGAGTGCAAAACTACCTCCACATGTCAATGTAACAGGTATGATTAATTGTCAATGATATAATATGATATAATTGTATTCATTTAGCTAAAACGGCCTAATATTACAGAGACACCGCCAACTAAATCTTCAGTTATTCCAAGCCCGATAACATCATTGGCGTCACAAACAACATCAACTGAGAAGCAGGCTCCTACAAGCGCCCAACGTCGTTCAGACGCTTTACTCGAACAATTGACACTGCCTTTAAGAAACCCTGTGAGTGCTACAGTCCAGAGTCAACCGATCCCTGGCTCCATGTCTCCTGGAAGCAAGGAGAGCTCAGATAATACCAAAGACGGGAATGTGTCTCAACAGGCTGCTGTTGATATGAAGGTATGTGAATTGTGAAAGTCATATTAATGTACTTATACTCGTTATCAGCCTATCAGCTCCCACTGCTGAGCAAAGGCCTCTTTCTCACATGGAGAAGGTTTGAGCATTAATCACTGCTCTTGCTCAAAACGGGTTGGTGATTTCAAACTTATAATTGTGAAACTATAAGTCCAGGCTTCCTCACAATGTTTTCTTTCACCTATGTCAGTGATGTCTAAATACTCTGTGTAATGTACTTATAGTACATAATAGTAATATGGATTATAATATTTTTGTTAACAGAAGTGGGTTGCATCTACCTGTTCATCATTACTCATGGAGCTGAGAGCTGGCTCGGTGGTACTAAAAGTATGCTTATCCCTATCCTGCCTCCAGCGATACTTGAACCGCTGGCAGAACGCAAAGGAGAGCGCCATTGTACCACAGTTTAACTCTGATGCCTCACTGTAAGTTTTTTTTAACTTAACTTGAAATATCCCCTTTTGATTGGAATTTTATCTATAACCATTATTTATACTGTTATGTATTAGTAATGCCTGCTCGGTATTGTTAAAATAATAATATGATGTCAAGTGTGATGTAGGTAGATTACTTTATAATATTAGTTGCTGTCAATCAGTTTGCTACTTAGCACAATACATATGTACATGATAAAGTTAATATCGTTTTATTGAATACTTTTATTTAATATGACTAAATATTGTTGTTGCAGTCTTCACTTTCTAGTAAACGAGGTGCATGTGTGCCGTCTCGCTCTCTCCCTACCTTGTTTAGAGCCGTTCACTCCGGAGCGTATTTCAGCTCTCAGCGACATAGCTACCGCCTGGTTGTTATGTTGTGCTACAGCCCAGGTAAAGATAACTGTAATATAAATTGTGATTATATAGTAACCAGTAGATATAACAGTATTTATGTCTTCATATTTTGTTTCAGGCTTCCCTACATCCAAAGGACGAGGAGAGCGAGCAGCAGACAGCAACTCTAGTCGAAAGCGCACTCAGTCTTTATAACACTGTTGGCGACACATTTAAACAATCAACACGCGCTGGCGGCTATGTAATTATAAATACTCAACTATTTTTAGATAAATATTATATATATATATAGGAATATTATTAATGTTATATACTTCACCAGGTATATCAAAACCATCTGATGATCGGTGCCTGGGTGCTGGTGTGCGGTCTTCATCACGTGCTGGCGGGCGCTCCCGGCCCTCCGCGGAGTCCAGCAAGAGTTCCTTCACGACCATACAATCTGACTAAGATGTTAGTAATGTTCTCTTTAATCGATATACAGGGTGACTGGTGAATTACTATCAATACTTAAAGAGCATACTCGGTACATGATTCTCATTCGAATTATGTAAAAAAATAGGTACTTAATTTTTGACCAAATTTCCGTATAAATAAATAAAGTGTGGACACGTTCCAAGTGTTCCAAGTGTGGACGCGTACGGCGGCGTGCTGATACAACACTACGCCACCGCACTCGTGTGTGTGTGTATACCTAATCTGTAGGGTGTTCACACGATGCTTAATTAATTACATAACTTTTGGTTAACTTTACTTAGAAGTTTATTAATATTTATGTTATATTAATTTTTATTTTGTCATATATGGTCGTCAAATATCACGTCCTCAAGTATCGATA